ATTGAAATTTCATAAAAATGGCAACAGTTAATTCCATACATTATAAATCGCTCGTCTTTATGTCTCTTTGACATCAAGAAATCTCAGAAAGAACAAAAGTTATTTCTTTCATCATTCTTATTCACTTTATGCCGGCCGCTACAACTGAAACGTCCTCTACCATGTACACGCACGCTGATGTATACACATGAGTACAAACTACGGCTGAGTTGGTATTCCGGCGTGCATACACACGCGTTCGTCGGGGTTACGTCGTTTCTCCGTGTGTACTCGGCTTGAAGAGAGCCGGCTACCACCCCCGTCCCGTTGTTAGGGCGCGGAAAATAAATACGCGCGGCTCTGTCCGCAGAAGAGAGCGAGAAAGGCGCAAGCGAGAGGACTCAGTCGTCGGCGGTAGCGGAGGCGGACACGGGGACAGAGAGGAGAGGAGGGGAAGGGGGAGGGGTGAGAAACGGACGGAATGAAAAAGGGGGTGGCAAGAAAGAAAGAGGGAAATTCAACACGTGCCGTCCTCCTCTCTGCGTTAGCTCTTTCCTATTCTTCTGGTTCGGCCAAAAGCTCCTCGAACTTCCAAGCGTTGCGAGGCGCACTCGCGTAACCCTTGAGTGTTCGTTTCTTTTTCTTGCCGCCCCACCGGAATCCTGGTGGCCACCCCCGCTACTTGACTCTCTCGGTTTTGCTTGCGAGTCGTCAGAACAAACGAGTCCCGACTCTGACTCTGTCGAGAGCGAGTTTGCGTTGGGCAAAATCGACAGTTTCTCTCGTTTTTGATCTTTAGATACAATGGATTAGAGACCTCTCGTCGAGTGGCGGGTAAGCTGCCTGCCCTTGCCGAGTGGCGAATGCCTTGAACGATCCTCCTATGAACATAAGCGTCGCGTGCCGATGATTTAAAGTGCCGCTATCCCGAAAGCTTAATGACGTCTCGCTGCTTAATGACGACCACGACGACGACGGCGGCGGCCAAGAGGCTGCCTTTGATCTGCCCCGCGCGCCTCCGCAGAGAAAAGGCCTTCGGCCCGCGGTAATTGTTTTGGGTAAACTGAATGCGATGCTTTGATCCAGCCTCGGCGACGTAAGCGTCGATTCAGAACGCGCGTCCCTGTTAATGAGGCAAATCCAACTGGAAGTTTTCCTGCGATGCCTTGTCGCAGGGAATCGGAATGAAATTGTTCGGAGGCGAGGAAAACGATGACAATAATGACCGGTTCTTTTGTTTTTGTCGCTGCTCTGTCTTGTTCAGGTTGAATATCGTTTAATCATGAACTGGTATCGTTGGATCATGGGTAACGACAGCAGACTGTATTGGATTTCGATCACGTTACGTTCAATTTAACCGTGCTTATTCCTGATTTGAATTCTATATCTGATATAAATATCATTAATGATTTGTGCAAAATATAGAATATACCAATGTGAATATATACAAATATTGATAGCTGTTGTTAATAGCTGATAAAACTAGTTGGCGATTGTTATCCTATTTTTGATTTTTAATTGTATTCTGTAACTATGTTGAACTATATGTATACACGTGAATTTAGGGTCGGGAACAGATTAAATGAGATAGGCAGATTAAGCACACATTAAAATGTTATTCATCAGTTCCAGTTTACTCCGTTTTTTGCGTATTAAGGAATTCATATATTAAGGTTACTTTTTGGGAATCTTTATTCTGGTTAGAGGTTATGTCCTTAAGACAGTATCGTACTTTTGTTTGTTCTTACTACTGTAATTGAAAGATCTCTTATCTTCTGCGCCTTGTCACAGATTTCAATCATCGCATTAAAAAGGAAAAGAAGCTTTCTATCATTATGTAATCCCAGATAGAAGTATAAGATAAGAAATAGAGTATACGTACGTATCTATTCAGAACCGTTACTTCTCTTCTATCTCAAATAAAAATAAATTCTATATCTAAATCTAATTCTATATTTATTAAACTTGTTCGTATTTCAATTTTATCTACATTCAATCCGTTTTTTTTATCCATCTATAATATTCAAAATATACGAAATTGAAATTAATAGGTACATTTTTCAAGTACTTTTACACCACTGATTTTAATATTTTTTTTTTGAATATATGTAACTGTTTGCACCGCCTAGAGTAAAATCGTCACCGGTGACGGCTGTTTTCGCGCATTTATTCGTGCAATTTTTATCGTGTTGTAAACACGCCTGTTGACGTTCTATCGCTTCGATAAACATCGCTGAGCTTACTGAATATTTGCGAAGGACAATTTCCAACAAACCCTCGATATCGGTTTACATCGCTCGCTAAGAACCGTTATTAGCCATTGTTTATTGTTACAACACTCGGCTTTTGCTCTGATTTGCAAATCAGATAATCAGTTCATCGAAAGTTTAACCGAACCGCTTAACCTCCGTTCGGCAGAGACCGAATCATTATCACCACGAGCATCGACTATTTCATTTTATAACGATAAAGCGAATAACTGACAGAAAAGACTTTTCAACTGTATGGAATATATGAAATTTAAAAGTATATAAAACGCATAATACATTCGTAAAAGATTTTTGCAAGCGTTCGAATATTTTCGTACGAGCTACTGTAAATGTAATTGACCTAGAATTAACCGAGTCTTTGTCATCTGAGTTTTAATTCGTTTGTCCAATTTATAAGGTCGTTGAATTATTTGGAATATAAACTAGAAGCTGAAAAATCGTCGGAAGTTATGTTCATTGTTGAATGGATATTACGTAACGTGATTCTCAATTTTATTCGTGTTTTATTTGTACGGCAAAAACGTCATTTAATATCGATAGTGACGTAGAGAGGTTCTAATATCGATACAAGAGTTATGTGTGCGACAGTTCGAAGGACGAGGGTAAACATACATATTTTTACGAGTCTATCTTCATATCGGAATTGCACGAGAACTGAGCAAATACGGTTGCTCGCGTTTATGATGTGTATTAATCGAGCTAGATAAATATTGCGTTCCCTTACGTTGTCTTTCCGTAGCGCTGATTCTCTCGAAATCCCACAAATAGTATATTTTTCAACGTTTGCTGAAATCCATTGATTTGATTTTATTTATATATATTTTTTGAAAATAATGCTGCGAGGTTGTTTAGTTAATGGGTAAACATTTTTTAGAGTTATCTACCTGATTATTAACTGCGTAAAAAATATAGAATTATCAGTACTATTAACAGATTGTATATGTATCTGTCAAATCTCAACCGTGATCCACGTAGCGTTAATTAATACCTTAGATACTTATTAGAAATTTAACATCAAGATTTCCTAATACTCAATGAAAAATAATTTCATACATGTAAAATTTATAATACCGTAATACTTAAAACCGTAATAATTAAAATACTTACAAAAAGTAGCAAATACTATGCTCAAGCTACAAATGCTCTAAGATCATTCGTATTTAGAAACATACGTATAACAACTTCCAAGCTGTCACTGACAACTGTCACTGTCTCGCGAATCCCTCCGGACACGAAAAAAAGTCAGAGATCAAACGACAATGAACAATTCTTCCCTTTCTTATCCCGATCGCCGTTTTGCGGCTGGTCTCGTCACAACCGTTCATCCAATCCGGCCAATTCGATCGGCTTTGATCGTGCGGCTCTCATCGCTTCGAAGGGGGCGCGGTGACTGAATGATCAAGCCTGTAGCGGCGCTAATCAAATCCACTTAAGAGAAGAGAACACGGGATAACGAGAAACTGCTCGACTATCTTCTTCTCGCGATCGTACCATGCTAACAACAAAGAATCAGCGATCCAGAAAAGTGAACGCAGGGAAGAAAAGTGCGAAAAAGAAGGTGTCGCACTGGTCCCAAGGGGATCCAAAGACGCGTTTACATTGTGTTTGCGCCAGGGCAGAACGTGGCGGACGTTTATCTCACCACGAACGCAACAAAGGCCAGTAATGAGAACATGTGTTGGATGCAGGAAGCTTCATTAGCGAACCTGTTCCTGTCCGCGAGGCCCATTGTGCGACCTAACTCTGTCTGCGCTCTGCGATACGGTGACTCGTTGGCGCGGAGTGCTCGATTCTTTGCCTCTGCGAGCTCGTATCGCCGCCGGGTATTAGTTACCGGCAGTAAACATGAATTCCTAATTGCGGAAATGGGTCCCGGCCGCTGCTCGATGATCGTTATCCTGGCGCTTGCCACCGTACCCTGACAATCGGGGTTGCTTCGAACAGTCGCGCCAAATAACGCAATATCGAGACTTGTTTTCGGATAACGTCCCCCGAGAGGCTCGTATAGTGTTGTTAGTGTTGTTAAATTTCGGTGGGGATTCTGGGATAAAAGAGTTTCTAGGTTAGATCTTGGATGTCAGCCTGGTTCCTATGTCAGTCTGCTGGGACTTAGAGATTTCACTGAGACTTTGGTATTTGTAATGTGATGTCTTGTGAGAGGATTTGTGAGGTAGAATTAGAATAATGTGGTAGCACGCGAGTTGCTTTTCAGGATAACTGGTGAACTATCGACGACGAGTTTTAAGGAATAGAGTGATAAATTATGGTGTTTATGTTGTTATTGTGACAATCTTTTGTGATAATAGGTGTCCGAAAAGTTTTGAGATACTTAAGTTAGCTTCAACAAGAGGTCTAGTGCGTGGTGTGTGATTGATGAATTTTGAGGCACATTTATTTTTTAGATCAAAATTTTATATGAGGAGACATTTACTTTTCCATGAAATCTAGAAATAATCTTTAATTTTAGTAGTGACATATGAATAATAGGAATCAAATATGAACATAGTCTTTGAATGACAATAATCTGGATGACTGTATAATCTTTTAATAATGAATCATTACGTATCTGTCACAACTTCCTGTGAGTCGATAAGAACATATTATTAATAACGTTGATAATAATATCAAATTATTCAACGTCAATGTTTTTCTAATTTATATATGTCAATTCGAAATCATTATAAACTGTTACGTTGCGTAAAGCAAAGAAATTACTACGTTTCATAACAAAACTGTTTCATTTATTTACAGTTTACGACGGGGTCCGGGGGCTAACGTGCAAGACGCCAGTGGATATTCTGCTCTTCACCATGCAGCTTTGAACGGACACAAGTATGTTTCAATAATGTTTCAAAAAAATTTGATTTGGCAAAATTAAAATTAAAATTAATTTCATGAAAATTCCATCGACATACAATATCGACTAAAAATTTGAAGTAACTTCTCCAATTGTGTCTACATTGAATCATCTACTAATTTCATTATCAATTCAAAAGTAATTTTACAAAATATTAATACGTAATATCTTTTGCTTAATAACAGTTTTTACCAAATTATTTTCCAAAATAGAAGAATTGTAAGATAACATTTAAAACATTTTTTGAGTTTCTGGAACTTATTATACATGATTCCAAACTTTTGACTGATAATATACGGGTATAATTTACACATACGTATATGTTGTGTTAGCTCGTGTTTCTAATTAATACTCCTTTCGATCGGCAATTAATCGATGTCACATACATTCTAACGATAATTCGGGGAAACGCTTTTATCTTTAGGGAGGTGGTAAAATTATTGCTCCAATATGAGGCTTCCACTAACGTCGTCGACGCTAAAGGCTCTTCGCCGCTTCATTTGGCAGCTTGGGCGGGCGACGCTGAAATCGTGCGGTTAATTCTTACCCAAGGACCCTCGGTACCTAAAGTAAATCTTACGGTCAGTAAATTTATTCTTCTGCTATTTCTTTTAATTTTTTTTATCTAATTTCATTCGGCAATCATGCTACGATATCTTATTTCGTATGAATTATAATACTATGGTATTATTATAATATATGATATAGGTAAATTATTGGTTTATGTTATATCGATCACGGAAGAGGATGGAATTTTATGTCTCTTTTATTGAAGTATTTAACTGCGGAATTTATGTAGTTTCTTTTAGAAATTAATTTTCGTTCGTTGTTCAGTGAATAGCGCAGAAATTCTGTGCGTTCCCGAGACATTTTGAATTCCTTGAATAAGCCTTTGACGTTAGTTCTGCGAAACGAAATTTTCTTTTATTTGAATATACTGAAAAATTATGTAGCAAAAATCACTTGTTCGTGTGTTTTATAAAGTAATTTTGATTAACCATTTCTTCGCAGTATAACGAAATTATAGTTTGAATTTACATACATCATGCTTTAAATTCACCCACATGGTCTCAGTTACTTGTTTACTTTACTGTATCTGAGAATTGCAGGAAATTTATTTCCCCATTTTACCAGAAATATAATTTCTTTCCTATTATACTGATATTTTACTACTGTTTCGCTATTTATTTCAAAAAACGCTTTTTAAACGTATCAAACAGATTCTTGTACTTTCCGAAATAATAAATTTCTAATAGCATATTAATTCCATTCATACCGATCACGAAATCGTATGCAATCTAATATCTGTGTGAAGCTTCGTTTTGTCCGATAAAAATCTGATCGCTCGTTCCAATACAAATAGATCTACCTTTCCTTCTGTTCGTCAGTAATTTCACGTAACCGTGCTGTTTTGAGTTGGAACGCTCTAATGCCAGCAATCGAAACAAAGTGTATTCGTTAACTCGAAATACCGGCTTTGTATGATCGCAGACGAAGGACAACGAGACGGCGTTGCACTGTGCTGCACAGTATGGGCACACGGAAGTGGTGGCACAGCTGTTGCAATACGGATGCGACCCCAGCATCCGCAACAGCCGGGGAGAATCCGCGCTGGATCTCGCCGCGCAATATGGCAGGTAAATTGCACGTACGATTTTTTCCTCCTTTTTCCCCTTCTCTTCTTTTATTTGCACATATTTTTGTTCCCTTTATTTTTATTTCCATGTATTCTTTCCACTTATTTTGTATTTTCGTCTATGTTAGAAGTTGCTTTGTAATTTTGACTCTATCAAATGGTAGTTCGCTTCAAAATCGAGCAGTTTTGGAACTGGTTTTCAGAAACTGCTCGCATATTATCGATCGCCCCGAATGAATAATCGATGACGCTGCTAATTGGCTTTGTGCTTCTTCTGTAAAATTAATTATCTTTTATAGATTGGAAACCGTGCAATTGCTCGTTAGTACGTATCCAGAGCTGATCGTGCCCCTTCGGAATTCTTCCTCATCGGTGATTTTTCCTCACACCCCGCTGCATCTAGCCTCGCGAAATGGCCATAGGTGAGTCTTTGTGAACATGTATCTTTTTATGTTTCCTATAGTCGTGATATTTGCTGAAATTACATAATTTTCATAAATAAATGCCAATTCAATTTCTTTATAATGATTCCCTAATAGTTTTGAGCAGTGTAATAATACGAAACATAAATAACGTATATGGAATAGAATAATTGAAAGAAAAGAATATGTACGTAGAATACATATGCGTATAGAAAATATACATAATATATAGAAAAGTATAAATTATTAAAAAAGGAAGAAAAATTCAATATAGGTATTTGTTCCCATTAAAAACTTCACACTATATCTCATCATTGGAATTGTTGCGTTTATTTTATAAAAACATCAGCTAAAATTCTATTTGATGTTGCCAGTCTCAAGTTGACCTGTGAATGGTAACTCATCCAATAACTAAACAGAATCGTTCAAAAGTAACATGCTCTCTTTATTTAATCAAGCTGAGTCGATGATCGTCGCACGACGTTTGATCAACATGCGAGGGTAGCAAGCGTGAGTGCAAGCGTTTACAGCCGCTGTCCATGAAATCTATTTTATATTGCATTGCAGATCAGGATCGTTACTAGATTATTCATGATTCGTGGAACCCTGCCGGACATCGTGCACATGTTCAGTTTCTGGACGCGTACACGCATCGCACGATTAATTTGCGCCTGATGTATGACATCCAAAGAAAGAACTCTCAGTTGTAATCGTTCGTACACGTTTCTACTTTAGACAATACTATATGAGCGACAAAACATCATGATCTTTTTAACCACTGTGTGTATACCTTGGGATAGACGACTATTATCGTCAATTAATTATTATTTTTTATTAGTTTTATAGTTTATTAATATCAAAGTCATTATTTTTAGAACATACTGATTGTATGTTCTAGATAATATCGTATAAATTGGTCATAACTAGTTGTCTGTGATTAATCTTGTTAGAGTATCTCCAATAAATTAAGTTTATTTTGATGGAAACAATGGACATATCTGAAATTGGAACACGTATCTGGTAATTGCGAATATGTCATCGCTCCTATTATATGATCAATTTATCTAAAACAGTTATCAAATATTTCGCAGGTCATTAAGTATCGACCCAAACTACTCGATATGAACGAAACACAGTTCTTAATCGGAAGTTTTCATAGAAATCGGTCCATAATATTATAATCACTCATGTTCCTTACGAAACTCTCTATTTACGAATTTTTATATTCTTCAAACAATTTTTATATTTCTTGAAATGTACTCACGAATGAAGAACGAACCAATGCATCTCTCAACTCCAAGAACTAAAAAAAGGCTCAAAATGACCAACAAAACTTGTGAAAGTGCAACATTAGCGAAGAAGAAATCGACTAAAGACTTCCTCCTAGTATGATCACGCCGCTTCTTCCAACTCTGAAACGTAACGTTCCACCTTCTAGAATTCCATTCGCGAGAACGCTTTTCCCCTGAAATCGTTCGCGCTAATTACCGAGTAATGTAGCCCTTGCATTGTATCTAGGAACAACAATGGACTCGTTTCAGCTAACCATAACGATGTCGAGCCATTTGCAGCGTTGCCCATTAGAGCCAATCAGAGAGCACCGCGTTGCGTAATCCCGTCGAATACGATATGTATGTACGTCCTCCAACTGCCATGATCCGTCGCAACCCTCTCCTGGTTACACACGTCCTATATTACCACCCTACCGATCGGTCTCTCGTTCCTCGTTCGAGCGAATCTCCGATCGAATACATTCGCGGAGACCGATAGCACTCTGCCTGTCCGTGAGCGTTGCTGACCGCCCTCTCGATTACGAGGATCGTATTAATCATTACCTTCGAAACGTATCGACCTAGATCGTTCGACGTTTGCGCGGCTGAACCGCGATTGCTCGCCTCTCCCCCTCCGGACCGACTCGATCGCGGTATGTTTAATGCCCCTTTATGCGCCAAGGTGTTCTGACGCTTCGATAACCGCACCAACACTCACGCGTTGTTCCCTTTTGAAGGGATATATCGTAGCTTCATAGCGCTCGCACGATGAACAATGAGAGAGAACGTTGATGGATAGTAATTGGTGCGTGATTTAGTATGTAAGTGGAAATTTAGATGTTTTGATCATTTTTTAGGCGTAATATAGTATATAGGAGTAATGTGAAATTTACAAGAATGTATAAGTTTAGGTGATAAAATCGTTTCAGTGTGATATAGTAGGATTTGTTATTACGAGTCTGGGCGTTAAAATTATATGTGCGAGTAATACAGTGATGCTTTTTTTGCATGGGTTGGAAAATTATTATACGTGGACTGTGGAAAAACATTATACATAAACATAATATGAGAAACAAATTATCGGGCAATATGATAAACAAATTGGTATCTGTTTCTGATATAACATGGGTCAATTGTGATGTTAATACAAATAGGTCATTGATTATAACAATAAGAAAAGCAAATGATTAAACAATATAATAAACAAATTATTATTCGCTTTTAATAATACAGATTAATCGAGGTAAAATATATTCGACTCGATTCGCAAAGAATTAAACGTATTTGTTATATACAAAAAAAAACGAATAGACGCGTATATTCAGAGCGATATTAAAAACGAAAAAATTGTGTTTCAATTTTACTGCACGTGAGATAGGAAAAAAGGAAAGAAAACAATATCAAATATTCCCTTATACGACCAATTTTCCATAAATACTACTGTCTCTCTCCTTCACTTTGCAGTCCCATGTGTTGGCATTTCCAGAGCAAATTTCGAAAGGGTACACATGGGACAGGTATTTTTGACAAAGCGTGAATTTCGAAACCGTAAATTGTGTGACAGCGAGCGATTTATTGGAGCGAGAGAAAGAGAGAGGGATGTCAAAAATAAGCGATAGGGGATGGCGTGTGACGGTGAAACGTGGTTCCGCGAACGAGACCGGAGGATTCGCGTTATATTTCGCAATGGCGTACAATGGCGGCCGCTATAAAGAAAAATAGTGGCCGAAATATTCGACGAGAGAGCTTCCCGTGCCAACGTCCGATCGATTTACTAGCATTTACACAAATAATTGGTGATTGTTGCTTCGCACGGCAAAAATGTTGAGTTAAATAAACGATATTGTAAGCACGAGCCTTCGTTATTTGATTAATCGAATCGTTCAATCGGATGATGCAAGATTAACCGGATAATCGGTTACACCGATGCTGTACAATTAAATAACGAAAATGAATTTCGGCACAGGCTCGAAACAATTCTTCGAATTCTGGCTATTTGCACATGTTTAACCATATACATTCATTTATAGTATACATATATAAATATATATAGTTTTTTTTTTCTTGTTATATTCCGCGTTATATTTCGAAGAGCTGGATGCGATGCACCTGGTTTATTATTTCCAGTCTGTCGGCGAACCGTTCGTTGATTTAAAATATCCAAGCAGTTGTAAATAACGTTTGGTGGAGGTATCAAGGGAAATATTTGTGTAAAATTGACATGGTAGTAATCGGTAAAAAATTACAAAAAAATTGAAGTGTGAACGTTATTTTTTTTTTTTTACATATTTCTCTGAATATTTACGTATTTTTAATATTGCGTTCAGATGCATTTGGGGTAAAAAGGTTTCTGATTTGAAGCGAAGAATAGTATTATAGTTCTTAAATAATACTGTGTATTTCAGAAATTATGTATCATATTTTACACGTATCTTGACACGAGTCACTTCATTTCTAATTATTTAATCATCTGGTTTATTTCATATTGAACTAGAAAGTTGAAACACCTTTCTACCCCCTTCCATCCTTCATCCACAATTTTACTTTCTAGAATTTTACTTCTCAATATGTATCACCGGTTTAAAGCAGTCACAGCGAAACCTCTTACAATCAACACGACTTCTCTCTACAATTTCTTTAAATCGTTTCAAAATACACCTTCGTCTTCAACCCCCTCAAACACCCAAAGAACCATTGTTGCGTCGTTCGTTTCCAGCATCGGGAAACAGGGGACTGCAAGAGCGGGGAAGGGAATGGTATTTAACGCTTTGCTCGGCCAATTCATTCTCATTTAACATAGCGGCGTCACGTCCATAATCCGGCTGGTAAGCCTTTAAAATAATCGACGTTGTTGGACGAGCGTAGGATGGAACGGCTGGGTACGGGTGCACGCGTGGCTCGATCGAAAATCGTTCGTTCGCCGATCGTGAATCGCCGCGAAACGGCAGTCATATTGTAATCGGGTATAACGTCGGTTTTTCTATGCAGCCTTGCTGCCGGTAATCGCTTTAACTGGCGCTAGCCGCTTATAATGCGATCGCGTCGCGATACACAGTCCGATGAATGCATTTTCCGTCGCTAGCGATGCGCCATCCTCCTCTTTTCTACCCTTTCCCTCATTCTCTGGTGGAAACCGCTCAATCTGTGCCCCTCTGGCCATTCTCGACTCCTGTTGTCCATGCAGATTCCGCGATATCGAAACCGAAATATGTATATATCGAATGATTCGTTAGACGAACTTTATTGGCCTTATTTTCATGGAAAGCACGTGACAGGTTTCTAAAGATATATATTATTCTGTATATTAATTTTAAGGTCTTATTTAAATTAGTGAAATCACTTGGACTTAACGATAGAATTACTTATCAGATTAGTCAAAGTTATGAGAAATTTTATAGACTTATAACGAGGTTGTTTGTGGAAATTTAACTTTTTGTACAACATGTTATTATATAATTATTTTAACATGTTCACAGAATATTACCAGCTACAGTGATATCGTTTCTGATTAAATACGTCAGATGAACGAACTATAAAATATGTGTTAAATGATCAGCTTATATTTTACATCAAATGATCAGTTTATACGAAATGTTGATCTCCTTCGTAACTATGGAATAATAGGAATTTTTGTTTGGAACACTGCAATCGATAAACTTCTGTTGACTGCGTCATAAGGCTATTGGAATTCCATTAATTTTAACATTAATAGAAGGAAGAATATATTAATTTGTAACTAAAGTTATAACTGTATTAATTTTCTTCTTCAAAACTTAAAAAGATAATTAATCGATACCATATACTAGCATACTACCAATTATTGAAATCGTATGACGCATATTTCTCAAAAATAAAAAATAACAGGAAGAAATGAACACGATATATCTTGAAAATTCCAACATCTTCTTTCTATCGTCTATTTTACTTTGTTTCGAAAGTTTCTCTACAAAATCTCATTCACGTAAACAGTTTGTCAAAACCAAGCAATATTCGTTGTTCACACGTCCTTTGATATTCTGTTCCTGATCGCACTTGCCATAGTGGAATACAGCCGCGTGATAAATACACCATAGTGTATACAGCGCGCGTGGCACGCGCTCGCGAGTCGCACGCGCTGTACAGTTTCACAACGAGTGTTCGTGTGTACGTACACGCGTGGTATTCACGCGACTATTCACGCACTCCAAGTGCCGCGATCGTGTGTCAACGAGACACCGTGTTCAAGTATATTCCACTATTTAACATTTTAACGTTGTCACGTATGCGTGACTTCGCTGGCGCGAGCGGTCATCAGCTGTCACTAGGTAGACGTGACGTCGCCCTGGCTACCATTAGATAAATGTTTCTTCTCCGGCTTTTGATATCCATGTTTTGAATGTTTATTCATACACAATTATGCACCCTGTGTGTAAGAGAAGCTGAGTGTAAATTTATCATACCAGCGAAAATAATATTTCATTTGTTTTAATTTTCCATGCTAAATATCAAAAAAAAAAAAGAAAAAATAATTTTGCTATACATAATTTAAATAAAAGTATTTTAGTTGAAAAGTCATTTTATGACAATGTTGCTAAGTCTCGTGCAGATTGGTCAAGTTGCTTGAATTTAAGTAACCTGCGACACCGTTATTAGTTATTAATCGATGTCTACAATGACTGGTCGAGTTAGTTGCTGCAAGTCCCATTAACGGACGAATGGATCTGTTATCTTACGCTACGCGACATAAAATATTCTTTCAATTTCCAAGTGATATCGAAGTATCGTACTTTATTATATTATATGTAATATAATATTGTACTTTTTCTTTTCAACCACTTTGTCGCTTTATTTCTTATTCTTTCCCTTCATTCTATCACCTACATAAAATACCAAGAATATTCACTTGCAAACATTAACTTGCGAGAACACTCTATTTATCGAATTAAAGTCTAAAAACTACCTAATCTACAATAGTAGTTAACCCCAAATATCAAATTCATCGCTCAAACGAAATTCATCTGACTGAGAAGAACCAGCTAGCTCTACAGCCACGTTCCCGTGTCAGTACCCCGAATAAAGTTTCACGCGATTCGATCGGATCTCGTCGCGCTGATTAGGTTGGAAAATCTGGCTGGTCTCCGGTGAACAATCTCCACGGTCAAACAGCATACCGGGTCCTCGGGTGTGTGTACCGGCATTTTGACTGTTTGGACAGGCGCGAAACTACGGTATCCCGATGTGCGGAACTCGATCGTGTACGCTCGTTCTCGGCGTTGTGTACGCGCGCAAGACCAAAGTGTACACACGTAGCTAGCCGGTCACATCGGAACGTAGGCCAGGATTCGCTTGTGTACTCGATGCACACTGCGATGATTGCGTTCACGCACGCGTTTCACGCGCCCCGCCGCGATATTTGGTGGATCTGTTGGATGCGTGGGCGGCGATAGACAGAGCCAGAGCCCATAGCGGGACCAAAAGGGAGAGGACGTGTGTAGGCGAAAGAGAAACACAACCAGGGGGAGGTTTTCGGTGTGGAAGGGACGAGGGATGGATTCCGGGGGCTGGGAGTAATGTCTATTATCGGATTCAATATCGGTGCTCTTGGTAAGCCAGTATACAAATACCCCTATGGCACGGTAATAACAACATAGGTGCACGTGAATCCGATTCCCAGCCACGAATCCTATATGCGACGGATGGCTGCGGTCACTGCAGTCGGTGCACACCAGCCGACAGATACAAAACGAAATCTGGGTTTCGTGCTACACGCTGCTGCTGGTATCGCGTCGAAATGGGAAATGCGTGCAAGCGGGCCACTTTCAGCTGACACCGGTGATCCGCGCAGCCACGGATCCTCTCTCTGCCCTCGAGAACCGCTCCTCGATCACCGGTTTCCATCCGGTTCCGCTTCAGCAAATTTCAACGGCCGATGATATATTCGCGGCTAAAGGGAATTCGAGGATAGCTTCTACTAATTTGGTTTGTTAATTTTAGGGGAGGTTCTACGTGAAAGGTTTAAGCTACTAACGAAATGACGTTTATGGAGGAGCGTGCCATTGGCTCGTGTATGATTAATGGATGAAGAGATCGATAATATTTCTGGAGAATTTGTTGAAATAAGATAGAGTCGATTCATTTATATGACAGTAAATGTCACATTTGTGGTACACGTATTGATTCATTCTTAATGGAAACGAACATCGAAATAGAAATGGATTAATTCAATTAGGTCTTCCAAGGGTTGATGCAAATTAGTGATGCACAGTATTATTTTATCATTTATTTGAATATTTCGTGATTTATGGAGGGGATATAAATACGTTATATCCAGTCTTATATCATGTTATACAATTACATTTATCTACAATGCTCACAAACTTTGATCATTTTTTTCATATTTTATTCCAAGAAAACAGTCATCTACCAATTTGATTCTTTTACAAAAACAGACTGTGATTGAACCTAGAAATAAAAGAAAAGTACCTAAATGTTGGTTTTAGAGCTGTGGTGGAAGTATTGCTGGCAGCAGGCGTGGACGTAAACACGAGGACGTCCGCTGGGACCGCGATGCACGAGGCGGCGCTGTGCGGCAAAATGGAAGTCGTGCGAGCGCTCCTGGACCGAGGTGTAGACCTGGGCATCCGGGACTCGCGACAGAACACGGTGCTCGATCTTCTGGGACAGTTCCCACCACACGTCACTCAGGACATCACCGCGGTGATAAAAAGTGCGTATCCGCTGCGACGCTGGTTTTTTTTCTCCCGCCTCGACGCGACATCCCGAGTAAACGAGCTGTGCAATTAACGAGACATGTCTCGGGAGAAAAAAAGCGCTTTTTCTTGCCGTTGTCAATCATTGCTTACAAGTAGGCAGCGATAAACTGGCTCCGATAAGCCTGTTCCCGTCGATTTTCAAAATATTTGCATGATCGAACTTCGCGTGACAAGATTTAACGCGATAGCACGTTAAATCTTGTTAACGATGATCCTCTGATGAAAGTTTGATATTGTTCTGTTTGCAATATCCGCGATTCCAGTTTGATTTTGTATCGTTGATCGACGATTGTTTGTTAAGCGGTAATTCGCGTTGTGTTTGGTTAATGATTAAAGCGATGGTTCTTAATTGCGTATTGATAGCGAAATTGTATTATTGGCGACGTAAAAGGATGCGAATATAGGTTGGACAAATTACGATGAATTGGACGAAATGATTCAAGTGGTCCGTATTAGATACATATTTGTCAATTTGATATAAGGACTCTTGGCTATTTTACGATATAAAATTAGATATTATACGAAAATTATTTGTTAGCGTATAACAAAGATTAGTTGGGTCATTTTGACTCATTAGTAAATTGTTTCTGTAACTCGTAAAGTTTTAACTAAAGCGTACTGTAAAATGAATGAAATTCACTGATGAAACTTTGGGAACAGGGCACAGGTCTTCCTCTGGTGTGGAAAGCGACGCAGACAGCGAGAACTTGCCACCCATTCCGGTCCAGGGAAACGATTCATTGGGTAGCCCTTACGAAAACGTTCGCCCAGGGGATGATCTTTCTCCGGCGGAAGGGACATCGCCCACTCAATGGCAGTTCTATCATAAGCCTCGAGACGACGATCGCCGCGTTTCCGGCACTTCCGTTATGTCTTTGTGAGTATCCAATCTTTTTTCCCCTATCTTCACACTGGTTCGCGCCTGTCGTCGCTTTCGATGTTTCATTTTTTTTTCCTGACCCTTTTACGATCGTAAAACTTTCTTGTGACTCTACATGTTATGCGTTACTGCGCTCTGCGCTTCAAGCTACGATAAGCATTGCCAATGGAACGAGTCGTCGTGTTGATTTATAGTTAAGGGCATTTAAACGATTCTCGGGGTCGGAGAATGTAAAGAGAAGAAATTGAGATGTGCATAAGGAGATTTAAAGAAGACTTGATAATATCGTAATTTCCAAGATTTATATTATATCAGATCGTTAGATAGAATATTTTATCCTTTATTGTACTTTATAATTGTTTCAATTTCAAACGAATAAGAACTATAGGAAAACGTCGAGAATTTCACTGAACAACTTCACTTGACTCAACGATAGACTTCCTCGTAAAATTATCATTTTTAAGATAACTACAACAAGAAAACGACAAACAAACGCAACTTATCTCGCGAATATTCATTCCGACAAAAAGAGATGACTAACAATAACCAACCAAGCTCCGTTCCACTGATGCGAAACACCGGCTTGTTCGATCGTGACGAGCCATCGCCATCTCCGACAAGAACGCATCGGTACACGCTATTCGCATTTTGCGTTCCATGCAACGATCTCCTCTTCCAGCGAGGAAAAGCAGCCTAGAAAAGAAAAGAAACAACCCAACAAACAAACAGAAAAAAAAAGAAAAAACCCGGAGGAAAAGAACAATTCTACTGAGCTCTACCTGTTCCCCGAGTATTTGTGTTCATCCGGCGTCATCTTGGTCGGGGAGAGAGAAAAGAATATCGCGTCGGTGCATCGGATAAGAGCGGAGAGGCCCCGGTAATATTTTCTAAAAAGGGCAGATATTTAGTATAGATGGGCGCATAGCCGTGGCTGCTTTAATATAGGAGATGTCGTGTAAACAAAAGCATAGACTTGGACCTGGGCACACGGAGTGAATGAACGAGTGGCGGGCAGCGAGTGCTCGGATGATGGTTAACGGCGTCGCTGGTATCGTTTTAGTACCGATGCTGGTTGCACCGAGCACAGGCATACGAGAAGGGGAGGAGAGGGTTAGGTTGTGAGGGTGGTCAGGAAGAGAGGACGTTGGATGGGGTAGGAGAGCAGAGGAGGAAAGGTTCTCGGACCGAAAAGGGAAGCTGAAAGTAGAGGTGGAGGAGAAGAGGTTGGAGGAGGTGGCGCGGCCGCGTGTAGCCCCAGCGCGTTAAGCACCGCTTGGCTTGGTTTAATTTTCCTGATGTAGGCAGGCGATGGTGAGTCCGACCGCCTCGTTCACCCCTGGGTCACCCCCGCCGTATACCCCATTGGTACTCTCGTTCCCACTTTCTTTCTCTTCTGCTCTCTCCCTCTCTCTCTCCTCTCTCTGTTGGTGCTACTGGCAGCTGCTAAACGCGGTTGGCCTGACTAGGCAGAGAAAGAGGACCGAGGTCGACCGAGAAACTGTCAGAGGGAAAAAGGGAGACGGCGAGTGGAGAAACGAAAGACGAGAAGAGGAGCAAGGGGAAAACGAGCGGTACCAGAGCTTTCCGCACCTCCACCGTCAATGTTTGACGTCGGCAGCCGTGGCT